GATGGGCAGAGCACACTCTGCCGTTCCCTTCATGGATAACAAGGAGTGGAAAACCGCCTTGAAGAGGCGTGTCAGCCATTAAAGAGACACGATGGTGGAATCACGGGAAACCAGGATGCAGCCCGACGCGCCGTACTCCTGCAGGGGGCAGCAAACCCGATCAGACCCAGGGGTTCCCCAAGTTCTCCTGAAATCCAGCATAAAGAGGAAATGTTTCACATTCTGAACCTTTAGTCCAGAAACACAAACGGATCTGATCTAAAACGGATTAAATCCCTTTCCTCATGACCAGTGATGAGTTTGTTTTTCTCTGTCAGCTCAGAGCTTCTGTTTAGGTCTGGGTCCCGGTCATGGTCCATTCGGCCATCTCCTCCTCCCGTCCTCCTCCTGCTGGTGTTTCTGTAAAAGTTCTCAAGAAGCTCCTCTCCTGGTTGTCTGTGTTTTTCAGTACTTACACAAGAACGGGGTCGTTCATCGTGACCTGAAGCCGGAGAACCTGCTGTACGCCGACCTGTCGCTGGACGCTTCGCTGAAAATAGGTAAGAGAGTCAGCGCTGCTGCCCCTACAGGAGAGGAGGGCTTTCCTTATAGCCGAGTCCCGCCTAAACGCACCGCTAACACAGATTCTGCTGCCTTTGTCCTGAAGGCGAACACGGTGTTTGTCCAGAGAAACGAGCCACACGTCAGTCGTGTTGTTGTCATGGCCGCGACGTGACCGGACTGGACTCGCACAAGTCCTCATAGCTTCTCTGTTTCCTCGAGCGAGGCTCGGATGAAGCTGCACCAAAATAAAAAAAAGTACTCACATTTATTCTAACGCTGCTATTTTATTGCAGCATTAAGATGCGGGACGCTTCGGGAATGACTTGAGTAGCACCGAGTCCTGCTGCCCCCCTGGTTCTGGTCAGTAATGAACCCGTTGATGCTTATCTCAGCACGGGCGGTGACTTTCATCCTAGCGGGCCAATTTGGTGATTTTTAAAACAGAATCAAATCTTAAAATAACCGTAGACACAGTGATGCGTTAGTTAAACCACTCAGAAATGCTAATTATGTCCATCTCATCCTTCAAAGCTTCACATCGCTAACAGAACAGAACCATCGCAAGTGTCCAGTCACTGTCCTCCAATAAAACAGTTTTTCCACAACAAAGCTTTGGTTCACGATCCAAAGCTGAAAACCTTCCAGATGTCCTTGAGATGCGTCTCATCTTACAAACGCCTCATGACCTCCGCTACCAATCAGTCAACCAATCAATCAACCAATCAATCAATCAGATTTTGTTTATAAAGTGCTTTTCAAGCAACGTGCTTTACAAAATGACCCCAAATTCCCATAAGATTTTAAAAACATTAATACACTCACACACACACACACACACACACACACACACATGCGCGCACACACACACACACACACCAGTAAAAATTTATATTCAGCTGAGTCCAGATGAACCAAGTAAGGTAAGGCAAGGAAACGCCATCAGAGGAGCCCTCTGCCCCGGCAGCATCAGGTCTTCCACACTAAATCAGGACGCACAGAGGAGGGGGAGCAGAGACCCCCACCTCCACTTAACACTACCTACCTGTAGAGCGCCCAAACTGTCAACTCAACTCAACTTTATTTATAAATCGCGCCTTACAGGCAAGAAGATGCCACCAAGGCGCTACACTGATCAAATAAAAACATAAAACACTAAGTCCAGAAAATAAAAGCAGGAAGCAACAGTCGACCACCGCCCCCGGGGCAGAGGGCCCCTACAGAGAAAACAGTGGATTAAAATGACTAAAAATATAAAAATGAAAGAGCTAATATAAATGACTAAAGTAAGAAAATAAGTAATAAATAAATTAACATGGACAGTAAAATTATAATATTATTAAATAATGAAACTGCTAATTCAATTCAATTCAAGTTTATTTATAAAGCGCCAAATCACGACAAGAGTCGTCTCAAGGCACTTCACATGACTAGTGTCAGTGACTATACAGCAATCCTCATTCTAAGCAAGCATGCAGCGACAGTGGAGAGGAAAACTCCTTTTTAACAGGAAGAAACCTCCAGAGAATCCTGGCTCAGTATAAGCAGCCATCCTCCACGACTCACTGGGGATGGAGAAGACAGAGCAGACACACACACACACACACACACACACACACACACACACACACACACACACACACACAAAATAATGTGTCTATAGTTCTATTGTGATGTCTTAGTAAATATTCTATTTGGTGAAATCAACTTTATTGTATTTATCCTAAAATCCGATAAAACGAGAAATAAAACTATAGTAAATAATTAGATCAAAGCTAACCTAAAAAGACGGGTCTTGAGCCTGGACTTAAAAACATCAACGTTCTCTGCGGCCCTGAGGTCCTCTGGCAGCTCGTTCCAGAGGCGAGGGCGGTGATACTGGAAGGACGCCTCGCCGTGAGTGTGTGTCCTGACTTTAGGGATGACCAGGAGACGCCTGCCAGAGGAGCGCAGAGGCCGTGAGGGTTCATACGGTAAAAAGCAGCATCTTCATGCTAGTTTTGGATCCTCTCACCTGATCCAGCAGGAGCAAGGTTGTGAAGTGAAGAGGACGCTGCTGAGGAGCTGTTTTCTAGTTCCTGTCTGGGTTGACGTAAACAAAAGGATATTTCCATCTTCGTTCTGTTCTCCTGCGACACTTGAAGATTTTAGTTTAAGTTACCTTAGCACTAAAGTTTACCTGATCAGCTGACACGTTATACTGCAGCCGTTGTTTCCACGTGTCTCGTGTGTTCAAAGGTTTTCAATACCAAGAGAAACCTTTCTGTCCCGACCGACCCGTGTTTTGTGAGACAACATCCTCCCGCCTCGCTCTGATTGGCTCATTATTTTTGGAGAAGCCTCTCTGGGTCCAGATGGACGGTGAGCCCCTGGCTAACCGCCACAGATGGACGAGAGAGAGGCTCGTCTCCGGCAGCACCTCACGTCACAGGGCTCAGCTCTGTTCTCTTCTTCTCTCTCAGCTGACTTTGGTCTTTCCAAAATCATCGATGACCAGGTGACCATGAAGACCATCTGTGGCACGCCTGGGTACTGTGGTGAGTAGCACGCTCTGCCTCAGTTGTGCTGCATATGGAAGAGGTGTAGCCGTCGATTGTGGGAGGTAAAGGTTGAACTGATGCTAGCTAGCAGCTCTAATGAGAGGTTGTGCAGCGTTGCTGGGCTCTTGAGAAAGATGCTGAAAATAATGTAGAAATTCACACTCAGAAGTTCTTCATGGATCCCAGAAGGATGTGTTTAAAACAAAACTAACATAATCAGGTTGTCCCTGGCTCTGATGCTGATGCGGTGATGGATGGAGAGATTACACTCTCCACACCAGACTCATAGAAGATCATGGAAACAATGATATAGGATAGACTAACATATCCATCCATTTTCAGCCACTTCCCTGCAAACAGTCAACGTCGCATGGACGTGCAGATAATTTCTATATTGAGTATGTCGGTCCAGACCACATCTGTAGGACGTCCAAACTGGTATAGTATCTAGAGTCGGGTCGCGAGGGGGGCCCAGACTTCCCTCTCCCCAGCCACGTTGGCCAGCTCCTCCGAGGGAATTCCAAGGCATTCCCTGGCCAGGTGAGAGACATAGTCCCTCCAGCGTGTCCTGGGTCTACCTTTAGGTCTCCTCCTGGTTGGACGTGCCCAGAAAACCTCCCCAGGGAGGCATCCTGACCAGATGCCCGAGCCACCTCAACTGGCTCCTCTCGATGTGGAGGAGCAGCGGGTCTACTCCGAGCCCCTCCCGAATGACCGAGCTTCTCACCCTATTTCTAAGGGAGAGCCCAGACACTCTTCGGAGAAAACTCATTTCGGCCGCTTGTATCCGTGATCTCGTTCTTTCGGTCACTACCCAAAGCTCATGACCATAGGTGAGGGTAGGAACGTAGATCGACCGGTAAATCGAGAGCTTCGCCTTCTGACTCAGCTCTCTCTTCACCACGACAGACCGGTACAACGCCCGCATCACTGCAGATGCAGCACCCATCCGCCTATCAATCTCACGCTCCAGTTTTCCTCACTCGTGAACAAGACCCCGAGATACTTAAACTCCTCCACTTGGGGCAGGACCTCATCCCTGACCCGGAGAAGGCATTCTACCCTTTTCCTGCTGAAGACCATGGTCTCAGATTTAGAGGAGCTGATTCTCATCCCAGCAGCACTGCTGCGATGTACGCAAAAATATTCAAACTTCAATCGGTTAACCGGCTAGGCTGGTTATGAATTATTCATGTGTTACGTCCCCGGCTCTCTAGGAGAGATGAGGAGGGGAGTAATAAAAATGGTGTGTGGGTTGAATAACAAACAACGTGTTGTGTCACTTAAAAACAAAGGATTTTATTACAAAATGCTGGATATTTACAAAGAACCTAAAACCAATACTGTAAACAAAACCAAAGGAGCAATATTCAAAAAGGAGATAACGTAAAGCGCCACCCCAGAAGGGGGTAGGAAGAAAACCCAGAATAATAATATTTATAGATTCAAAAGGGGAGATCCTAAAGTCAAAGTCAAAAGCCGTTCCGAGGTCAAATTATCCAAACAATCCACCGCCTAATCCAAATACTAACGAGTTATCTACCAAATTCCAAAGAGCGAACCGAGGAGAAGAGAATAGCCCAAACTGTTCCCAGTCTGCACTCTCCTTGACCTTCTCCCTGAACTGGTGGCTGGAAGCAGCTTTTAACAGACCACAGCTGGGGACCGGGAGACGGGCGAGGCAAAGGCCACTGAGGCCATCCATCTTATGGCCGAAAAGGGGCACGGCACGTAACACATGTAACTGTAATCTGATTACTTCAGTAAGTAAATGGTACAATAGTGAAGCATTAAAGATGTAGGTGTGTTTATCAGACGCTTTTGTTCACAGCGACCAACAGCTGATGATGACGCAGCAGGTCGCCCTCGAGGCTAACAACAAACACTAATCAGCCAGTCCTAGGTGGCGGTGAGGCAGCATGATGAACCCTAGAGGGAAGTGAACAAGGAGAGGACAGTAGAGTGGGGGAAGGGTGCTGGTTTAGAAGAATCTCTCTGAAGAGCTGGGTCTTCAGGAATTTCTTGAAAATCGACAAGCGCTTGGGAGGTCGTTCCACATCTGGCTAGCGGCAGTGGAGCTCAATGAACAGAGGGGTGACGAGCTATTTTAGGCTGATTGAAGACCAGATGAGCTGCTGCACTCTGGACTTGGTCGATATAATACATGTCACTGGCCTCAACACATGTCAACACCAATATCTTCTCAGCCAATCAGACGGCAGCATCTTGTTTCTAGAGCTCAGCCTGATCATCAGAGTGGAGAAGGAAGAAGTTTTAAGATGGCATGGTTGTTAGTCTGAGTGTCTCTCTCTGGGATTTGAACCCACAACCTTCCTAGGGTAGTTAACGTAGGGCAAGTTCAGGCTGTATACAGGTCTTCACTCACACACTCCAGTCTGTTGTCAGTGGTGTCCTGAAGGTAGTATCAGCATGACGCCGTGTAGCACTAGTGATGATGGGTGTGTGTGTGTGTGTGTGTGTGTGTGTGTGTGTGTTTGTGTGTTTGTGTGTGTGTGTGTTTGTGTGTGTGTGTGTGTGTGTGTGTGTGTGTGTGTGTGTGTGTGTGTGTGTGTGTGTTGTGTGTGTGTGTGTGTGTTTGTGTGTGTGTGTGTGTGTGTGTGTGTGTGTGTTTGTGTGTGTGTGTGTGTGTGTGTGTGTGTGTGTGTGTGTGTGTGTTTGTGTGTGTGTGTGTTTGTGTGTGTGTGTGTGTGTGTGTGTGTGTTTGTGTGTGTGTGTGTGTGTGTGCGTGTGTGTGTGTGTGTGTGTGTGTGTGTGTGTGTGTTTGTGTGTGTGTGTGTGTGTGTGTGTGTGTGTGTGTGTGTGTGTGTTTGTGTGTGTGTGTGTGTGTGTGTGTGTGTGTGTGTGTGTGTATCTATGCTGAGTCGATGCACAGATGTGAGAAGTGATGCGTTTGCTGCGGCTGCTGCGCTGTAGGATTTCTCAGAGCTCTCAGTCAGCCATCTGGCCGCTAACCGACTCTTCTGCTTGCAGCTCCAGAGATCCTGCGGGGAAACGCCTACGGTCCCGAGGTGGACATGTGGTCGGTCGGCGTGATCCTGTACATCCTGTGAGTCTGCTTAGCACACACACACACACACACACATACACACACACACACACACACACACACACACACACACACACACGCACGCACACACACACACGCACGCACGCACACACACACACACACACACACACACACACACACACACACACACACACACACACACACACACACACACACACACACACACATTATTATTATCTAACAGAGATTCCGCTCCGAGCGCCGTCTGCTGCAGGTAAGACCCTGACTCATCAGAAGGACTCCTCTGACTAACTCAGCAATAATTCTAATAAGGATCTGAGATTATTTTCAGAATAAAGCTGTTTTGACTCGTTTACACCGGCGGAGGGCTGTCTCCTACATTCACACTTGAGTAGACTCTGTGGTTTTAGATCCGTGGTCGTGTTTAGGTGTCATTCACGACCGCAGTGCCTAGGTTCCTGACCGGAGTGCTGGTTCTTGTTCTTCAGGCTCTGTGGGTTCGAGCCTTTCTTTGACCCCAGAGGGGACCAGTACATGTACAGCCGCATCCTCAACTGCGACTACGAGTTTGTGTCTCCGTGGTGGGACGAGGTCTCCCTTAATGCCAAGGATTTGGTGAGTTCTTCCACTGCTGTGACCTTTTCACACTGAACTGAACTTGAATGTCAGAGGGACTTAGGAGCCAACTGGCAAACACGTGAAAGGCGTGATTTATCATCCCTGAGAGGTATTGTGGAGGCGGGGCTGCTGTCTGCTATTAAAATGTGACATTAGAAAACATCTCAGTTTTTACTCTTAAGCCTCTTTCACAACAAAATGTCGCCAATTTGCTACAAAACTGAGCTGTCCTCTCGAAGCCTTTGGTCGTTCATGAGAGGTCAGAGCGTGGCGGTAATGTGACGCCATTACGGTGGTGAACAGGGGGCACGGGGGCGCCTTTGCTGTCACTGACTTTAGTTTGAACATAACTGACTTATATTATGATTAAAACCGCTCCTGAAGGTGTCTGTCCTCCACAGTCCCCGTGAACGTAGGTGAGCATCAGTGAACAGGGTGAAATGGTCCGCGCACTTAGCCTAGCTTAGCATTTGTACATTGCTTTATAAACTAAGTCACTTTATCACGTCCAAAGATTTCCTAAACACACAGATAGTTCCAAAAACGAAGGTGATCCAAGGTGCAAACGTGTGAAGCACATCCAGCATGATTGTGATTCGTTTTCTCCAGTTTGTGCCTAAGAGTAAACAACGTGAGCGGAGAAAAACACCTCATTGATAGGTCTGAGGTGAGAGCGCTCACTCTGTCACATTTCAGCACCATAACAGCGATGTCTCAGTTTAAACCCTTTTCAAAACTTGCAACATTTTAACCTTTTAACTCATTCGCTGCCAGCGTTTCTCACCGTTTTTACTGTTTTTTTAAGAGTGACAGAACGTTGTGCGCTAGGATGATGTCGACACCAAAACAAACAAAGCGGAGACTCGCCTCTTACATCAGGAAGAATCCACGCGCTTCGAGCATTATCCGTTCTTTCATAATCCGTTGTTGAATTGTGATCGGCAGAAGCTTTTCCGGTTCGCTCCTCACTTTTTTTACAGCAGCGGCCCAAAACGATCTCCTAACACATGGATGTTCTGCTTCCTGATCACTTGACGTGTGACGTACGCGGGTGAAGATCGGCTTTAGAGCTGAGATGTTTTTTTCTCACGGTGCGGGGGCTCGTCCGACGCTAGGGATGGGTACCGAAATCGGTACTTTTTAAGGTACCGACCGAGCACCGATTCACGTCATTTCAAACGGTGCCTCATTTCGGTACCCGTCCATCATAACGAGAACTTGCCAAGACAGCTGCGCATGCGCAAGAGCGTTTTGTCGTCGCTAGCTGCGAGCATGTTGTAAACAGAGCAGCATGGTAGAGAGAACGCACGCTAAAGCTTGGCTCCACTTCACTAAATGTGATGGGTAACTGGGTGATGATGAAACCAGCAACAACTATCTAAGTGAGACATCCTCATCTTAATCTGCTCCGGTAGGTAAATATAATTAGCTTGATATGTTAGCTTCCGTTTCGCTAATGGTGCGTTCGCTTTCTCCTCGGAACTCCGAATTTCTGACTAGAACAACATGAACGCGCTCTAAAGTTTGGCTTCACTTTACTAAATGCGACGGGTGAATGGGTGAAGGTAAAACCAGCGACAACGATCTAAGTTTGAGGCATCATCGTTTTAATCTGCTCCAGCAGCTAAATAAACTGTTTAAGATATTGTTAGCTTGATATGTTAGCTTCCATTGCTACCATTGTTATCAGCTAATGGTGCGTTCGCTTTCTCCTCGGAAATTCTAACTTCCCAGTAGGAAAAATCAAATGAAAAAGGACGGCAAAAGGAATGAAGATACACAGTAAATTTAGCTCACAGTAAAGATGTTTGCTTCAGTTTAATTATCAGCTTATAAAACTACAAGGACAATGTTAAAATACAAACAGTTGTATGTTATTTATCGTGATATTTATCAAATATTGTTATATATTGAGAAAAATATATATTTAATTATAAAAGAGAATTAAAATAATAAACACTCAAAAGTATCGAAAACTGGTACCGTTAAGTACCGGTATCGATTCGTAGGTACCGGTAATTAGTACCGGATCGATTCAAATGTCAAAGGTACCCATCCTTATCCGACGCCCACACAGTAAAAACATGAACGCAGTGAACGAGTTAACAAGAATTTACTTGTACTATTTATTGGGTTTTTAATCCAAAAATTGTCGCCATTGGGAAATGAATAATTGACCATCCCTCTATCCATCTGTTTTTGTCCGCTTATCCGGGTCGGGTCACTGGAGAAGCAGCCTAAGCAGGGAGGCCCAGACTTCCCTCTCCCCTGCTACTTGGGCCAGCTCCTCCGGGGAAACCCAAGGCGTTCCCTGGCCAGCTGAGAGACATTGTCCCTCCAGCGTGTCCTGAGTCTTCCTTTAGATCTCCTCCCGGTTGGACATGACTGGAAATCCTCACCAGGGAGGCGTCCGGGAGGCATCCTGACAAGATGCCTCAATGGGTGTCGGAGTTGGATAGTATTGGTATTTTGGATATTGGATAAAACGCCAAAGTCGAGTTTCCCTATTGATGGCCCACAAGATGATACAAAGCGCATGAGGTTGGAGGAGATTGATGACCCAAACTGTCGAGTCAGCTTTTAGTTTAAGTCCCACTTTGACCAGAAGGATCAGCCTCGCGTCCCAGTTGAGTCTGACCTTGACCTTTTCTCTGCTGGTCCGGCTGCAGGTTGGTAAGCTGATTGTTCTAGACCCAAACAAGCGTCTCAGCGTCCAGGAGGCCCTGCAGCACCCCTGGGTGCTGGGTAAGGCTGCTCGCTTCTCCCACATGGATACCACCCAGAGGAAATTGCAGGAATTCAACGCACGACGCAAACTTAAGGTTCGTAGCTAACAACCATCTAAATGGAGCTAAAAATAGCCCAAACTTTGCACAGCATGCTAACAGCGCATTTGTCGACAGGCTGCCATGAAGGCCGTGGTGGCCACCAGTCGGATGCACGAGGGCTCACGGCGTCGCACCGACAGCTGTGAAATTCAAGCTTCGGGGACTTCCAGGCAAAGCAGCATGCAGCAAGACCCGCCCCCTGAGTCCACAAGTCCTGCCCCCGAGGAAACAGAGACTACGACCTCAGATCAGGAGGTGCCACAGAATGTTGAAAATAAGCTTGCTGACCAAAGTGCCCAGAGTCCCTCCCCTCCACGCAGCCCTATCACCTTTGAAGCCCCGTCCACAGGCTCCGCCCTCGTCAGACCCCCGCTGCGTGCCGATGGGCTACGGCAAGCCTCAGTCATCCCCAAATCAATGTTGATCCAACCTCGGCTGCCGCAAAAGAGCTGTTCTGTTATAGAGCCCCTCCCCAGAGCTGCAGCCGCGCCCCCTTTAGGGTCACCTCCCAGTCCAAACAGCCTCAGCAATGGCTTCACACCGGGGGCGGAGTCAACCAGTAAAACTGCCCAGTGCCAGTGACCACCTGACAGAGCCACTTCAAAATCACGACACAAATCAACAATTCATCTTCCATCAAATACTCACAAACATCTCCGCCAACTTCCTGGGACCAGATTACACCGGAGTCCAACGTGTGTGTAACACCGGCCCTGAGCAGCAACCCGGGTTGGGCTGCAGATCTCTCACCGAGGGCTGGTTGGTAGGGTTTAAAGACACTAAAGAACTCATTTTAATCAATATCTAATAAGAGCATAAAGAGATATTTCATGTTAAGAGAGTTTCTTCGAACTCGTGCAAAGCTACTTTAGTGGAGACTCAGAGTGAACGTAGAGCTGGAAATGAGCAGAGAAGTGAAGTTTAGGAACTTTTCAACCTAAAACTTTTTATTTTCTGCTGCTGCCATCCAGGAAACGATGTAAACAGATGATAAAGGTTTTATTTTAATGTAAAAAATGACTATAAATACAAAAAACACAATCTAATGTAAACTCAGACAGGCTTTCCAGGGAATTCTCCTCTTGTCTGAGAGTTGTGTCCACTTCACAAACGCTTCCAGATGCTTTCTGATTGTAATCGTTTGGCTGAAAGTTTTCCTGGCGTCAGTCACAAAGACCTTTTGAAAGATGAGACCAGCCAAGCGCTTGGTTTTGGCTCTGAGCTGGACCCAAACCCTAACCCTGCTGGACATTTCGTCTGACAACAGGCCACATGGAAGCAGCTCGACACGGAGTTTATTGCCACTCTCAATGCATTTTGTTTTATCTCACATTCTTATGGACGTGCTCAACCACGCTTACAGAGAGGGTTCACCACCTCCTGGGTAGTATATGTGCTCTAATTCATGACCTGGCTTCAGTCAGGCCAGGTTTCCCATGAGAACATGTGCAACAAGGACAGACTAAAGCAAAGATGTGATTAGAATAATCAATAATCTCATCTACTATGTGGACGACATCTACTATAAAGTAGTAGTTTCAAAACACAAACACAATTATAAAAGGTGCAACATGTTAGAATGACCTCCTGTGGTCAAACGTGGGTACTGCAGCCCTTTTTCCAAACTAAACAAGCCACTTTCTCATTCCGTGAGTTTCCTGGCCGTTTCCTGTTACGGATCAGAATCAGAGCAGATCAACAAAACCAAGCTGAGACGCGTTGTAAATGTGAAGTGTCACCTCTGGAAAGGCCCTGGAACCAAATTCATGCTTTTATTCACAAAACTGAAGGAACATCAAATAAATTCCCGGAATAAAGTAAAATAAAAGGCTCTAGAAAGAATTTATATCTCAACCAAAAAAACGATTGATTACAGTTTTAGTTTTATTCCAGTAGAGTCACGAGTCCTGGATCCGGGGGCGTGTCCAGGGAGTGGCCTGGGGTAGCACATGCCACCCTTGGAATCTGATTGGCCACCCCAGGTGTCACCACACTAATTTACCTTCAAAAAGGCTTTTCACTGTCCACAAAAGGCTTGGAGGTGAAACAAAAAAGCATAACCATTGGTGCCACCCACGCACAAAGTTGTGCCTCACCTGGGCCACCCCAGTTTAAAAGATCTGGACACGCCACTGCTTGGATCTCCACTCTTCCCTGTTTGTGTATTTCTGAGTGCCAAACTAAACACACAGACATGACATTGATGAATCATTTGTCAGAATGTTGGACTTTTTCTTAAAGACTTGATCCGGGGACAAACAGATGTGCTTTCTCTTCCTCCATTTGGACGTGGACTCTTCCTCCAAAGCTCAGGACGGAGCGGATAGCATCTGGTGGCCGGTGCTCATCTGCACGAAGGACGAGGAGACAAACGTCCTCTCCACATTTTCTGCACCTACCTTTTCTTTTGGAGCATGCACATTCAGACGCTGCTGTTGCTGCGACCGAGGAGGGGAGAGGCGGGAGGAGATTTCTGATTTTTCTAACATTTCTACTCTTTACTGACGACTTGATTCTGCAGCTCTGACAGTAGATCGTGTAGCTCCAGCTTGTAGCGTTCCGGTGAGTGATGTGTTTGTGAGCTTTGTAAAACATTGTGTTCTTTACACTTTTATCAGCAGTGGCGATGCTCCCGTTTGCGCTGTACATACTGTAGTTTGCTTTTAGGGCAGTTGTGGCTGACATCTTGATGCTCAGCTCAAACACACATTTAAACCCCCCAACGCTAAAGTTCACCCCCAGAATCCTTCTCACCGGATCTGAAGCCACACGCGCTACCTCTCTCTGTACAGGGGCTTCCAAAATAAAACAGACTGATGCAGAACTCTCGTGAGAGAAAAAAAGAACGCAAACCAAACAGAATTCTCTGAAACCACATGCTGCTGGGTGTCGTACGGTGGCTGGGATGGTCCAAACAGGTCCAGATTGTTAGGTTTACGTAATCCGGTTCAGAGAAAAGTGAATAATCTGTGCAGCTCAGCCAGCAGGTGGAAGGAGGGGCTGAGGATCTGGTCCAGTGGGGCTGTGTTCTGGAAGGTTCTGGAGAAAACAAAATGTCCCAGAGGTTTATACGTAAGAAGATCAGACATGATCTCTAAAATGGTGTTTCCTACTTTAGCTGCTGTAGTGTAAAAAAAAGAGAGAGCTGATGGTCTCCCAGAATGCTTTGCTGCTTCATCTCATTAAGATAAGTTTAAGGGTCAGAATGATTGTTCTGCTGTAGAAACACGTTTACAATCTGTGGAGCTCCCCTTGTTTTTATTTGAATATAATGAAACATTTTTGTTTAAATTTAAAACAACGAAGCCGTCCTTAACTTGGTCAGATTTCCTCCTGCCACCTAAAACTCACCCTTTAGGACAACTCTGATTTTTAGGGATGCAACGATACCCTTTTTATTTTCAAACCAATACGATACCAATACTCAGATCTGAGTACTTGCCGATACCGATTACCGATACCGATACTTCTACCACACCAAAAAAATGCAATGATTTGGTATACATATTTTATTTTCTTCTCTGCTTTCAACAGGAAAAGACTGTGAGGTAGATAAAAAGTAAAATATATGATTAGAAATCATCACAAAACTAAAATATTAGGTGAACAGAAATGACAAGTTGCAGTGGAGCCATTTTTAAGCAACTGCATTGGTATCGGTTCCTGGTATCGGTTACTTTGACCCATACCGATACTGGTATCAGTATCGGTGCATCCCTACTGATTTTCTCAGTACAACACACACGGCTCACCTTCTGGGTGTGCTAGCACGAAGACACGTTTGTCTTTTCTCTCTCAGACACCGAACAAAATTATTAGTCAGAAAAAAAAGCTCTTTTATTTTAACAGAGGAGCCACACTTCAGAGCCTGCGTAAGCTTTTTTATTTTAAAGAGACGATAAATAAAAATAATGAAGTCTGTGCCCTAAACCTCACACTCACTCTAAAGGATAAGGGAGCAAAAACATGGAAGCACATTTTAAAGCTGAACCTCCTGGTCCAACACCAACAGTAATCTCCGTGTGAGATGATGTTTTTGCAGATTTTTAATCCCCACATTTGAAGCTGCTTTAGCGAACCTACAGAACAAGCTAGGTTTTCAATGCAAACACGGTCACAGAAAATTCGCACCTTCCCTCGGGAATCTTCCCTGGATGTTCACTAGAAGCGGAAACCCATATTATTATGGGAAACGAGATAGCGCTAAACACCAGTCATCATTTTCCTGGTCAAAACCGGGGGGAGGGGGGACTCTGGTAGCTTGTCCTAAAGCTGAAGTGGTAGCAGCCGGCTGTTTCTCCACTGGTAGTAGTGAGCGGAGAACCTCTCACACCAGTGGTGTTCTGGTGAATACATGAGTGTGTGATGAGTGGAGGACCCAGGGAAGGGTGGCAGTTCGGTGAGACCAACAGCCGGATGGTCCAATGGTTGGTTTTGGTCCAAGCCGTGTTATTGGTGGAGGTTTTTAGACAAATGCGAGTAAACCACTTTATTAATGTTTTGTTATCAAAATGCATGAAAAAACTGTTTTAAGCTAATTCGTTTTCCAAACTTCCTTCAGCAGGTTTAAAGGTCTCGTTCATTGAGAAACACTGAAACACTGGACCAGCTCTATACCCTTAGGGTGCGTTGCCCAACCAGTCTACATGTGTTTCGTGGATTTTGAGAAGGCGTTTGACCGCGTCCCTCGGGGGGCCCTGTGGGGGGTACTCCGGGAGTATGGGGTACCGGGCCCTCTGATACGGGCTGTTAGGTCCCTGTATGACCGGTGTCAGAGCTTGGTCCGCATTGCCGGCAGTTAGTCGGGCTCGTTCCCAGTGAGAGTTAGACTCCGCCAAGGCTGCCCTTTGTCACCGATTCTGTTCATAACCTTTATGGACAGGATTTCTAGGCGCAGCCAAGGTGTGGAGGGCATCCGTTTTGGTGGCCTGAGGATCAGGTCTCTGCTTTTTGCAGATGATGTGGTCCTGTTGGCTTCATCAGAACGTGATCTTCAGCTTTCGCTGGAGCGGTTCGCAGCCGAGTGTGAAGCAGCTGGGATGAGAATCAGCTCCTCTAAATCTGAGACCATGGTCTTGGGTCAGAAAAGGGTGGAATGCCTTCTCCAGGTCAGGGATGAGGTCCTGCCCCAAGTGGAGGAGTTTATGTCGGAGTCTTGTTCACGAGTGAGGGAAAGATGGAGCGTGAGATCGATAGGCGGATTGGTGCTGCATCTGCAGGTGAAGCTCTCGATTTGCCGGTTGATCTACGTTCCTACCCTCACCTATGGTCACGAGCTTTGGGTAGTGACCGAAAGAACGAGATCACGGATTCCAAGTCAGGATGCCTCCTGGACGCTTCCCTGGTGAGGTTTTCCAGGCAAGACCTAAAGGGGAGACCCAGGACACGCTGGAGAGGGAAGTCTGGGCCTCCCTGCTTAGACTGCTGCCTCTGCGACCCGAGCCCGGATGAGCAGCAGAAAATGAATGGATGGGTTCACGGAGAAACCGTGCAAGAGAAACATGCATGCCACACCTGAAAATGTTCACCCCCATCGTCTGAATCAGCTGCAGGAAGGAAACAGCTGGGTAACAACTGGGTCAGAAAAGTAGTTTATATTTTAGTCTGAGTCCTGCTTATTTATTACGGGGAATGTAAAATCTTTAAAATGTTGGCTCCTCCCACATCCTGATAGGTTGGGCCATTTCGTCGCAGATGGAGCCTTCAACAGAGTTTCAAAGGAAACGTCTGATTTTTGGTTTGGTTCCTTTGTAAATCAGCTGCTGAAAACACAGAACTTATGTTGGGCTGACGGGCCTCACCTGCATGTACCTGAACACAGGTGTGTGTGTGTGTGTTTTCTCCAAACAGAACACACCGGACCACCTTCTGTCATGATGAAAGCATGCAACTGCACATTAGACAAAGACTCTTCTGTAAAAACATGAATATTTTGCTTCTACTTATCTCGGCCCGACTGTAGGTGCTGAGGTGGGCGGGGCCAAACTGTAACAGCTGTTTGTTTTGTGTTTGAAGAGTAAACTTGTACTTTTTAAAATCTGATAAAAACATAGGTATAACGTGGCATTTATGCGTGTATCTCTGCATGTATTATTTAACTTCTTTTGATCATGTCAGAATGAGGAAAGGAGTCCAGGGTTTTACCAGAATCTGCTAAAGCAGCTAATCTGATCTGGGTTCAGTTGGCTGGTAGGACATTTGGCATCAACTGTACGATAAAGCTTGGCTGATAAAAATCCCTCCTCGTCTCCTGTGTTCTTTGTTTGATGAAACACCATTTTTACTGTAAAGAAACCTCGCTACGCGTCTGAAAGAAGATCAGCTAAAAGGCCTTCAGGCTTTAATTGAAGGTTTATTGGTTTGACTGGTTTTTAAAATACTAAATTGTAAGAGCATGCAACAGGCCTGGAACAGTCTGTATGGGAATTGAACCCGTGACCTCTGAGTCATCCATCAGTCCTCGGAGCAGACCTTCTGTCTGTAAGTGTGTCCCTCCTGGATCGTACCACACCAGTATGAAGAGGTGGGCCTCCAGTATGCAGCTGACACCTCCCACACTGAGGTGGCGCTGTAGCCCCACTCCGACTCCACCCATGGTCCCACGGCACCTGCTGATGTCATCGGTGCATCATCGAGCCACCACAACACCTGTTGGTCAGCTGATTTCAGCCCCTTTAGGAGGCAGACCAGCAGCCGAGGAGATTCTGGATCTTGAGAGGCTTTTACTGATTTAAAAACCTGGATAGACGGAACGTCAGAAGAACCTGAGGGTGAGAAGATGTGTTTTTACCACATTTGTGATTTTCACTCTCACTGTGAGATCATGGAAGTTTGGGAATTTTGGGAACTCTTGTTGAATATGAGGAAACATCCCTCTGGGTTCCTCAGGGTTCAGTACTCGGTTTAGTTCAGAATTATCTTTACTCCACACCGGTTATCTAATTTGGACAGAGTATTTTTACTTGGATTGAATGAAACAATCTAAGTTTTAAATCGTATTTGTTATTCATAAATGTATTCAGGCCGAGTCTATTTATCTGAAAGGACCTGGACTGTACTTGAAGATCACTCATTTGTACCTGCTGAACAGTTTCCCAGAGGAAGACAATGTTCCTCTTGATCAGTCATTTCCTCCACCAGGAGGTGAGTTCCAGAGCTGAAAACCACCAAGAAAGGAGCGGCCGGTCTGCTGAGTGCCATGGCAACAGTCCCACACCTTCAGCAGCAATAAACAAGGCGGCGTAGTCAACCAAACACAACATCCATCCAAACACATGAGTTCACCAATTTCTGTTAGCATCTCACCCCAGAAGAACAAACGTCACGACTAAAGCCATCCTGAAGAAGACGTGTCCCGCAGCGTTCTCCTAGCAGAGATGAAAGGCCTGCTAAAAAAATGAGTTTCTTTTATAGAGTAGAGTAGAGTTGAATAGAGTAGAGTAAAGTAGAATAGAATAGAGTAGAGTATAATAGAAGAGAGTAGAATAGAGTAGACCAAAGTAGAGTAGAGTTAAGTAGAATAGAATAAAGTGGAGTAGAATAGAATAGAGTTGAGTAGAGGAGAGTAGAAGAGAGTAGAGTAGAGTAGAGTGGAGTAGAGTTGAGTTGAATAGAGTAGAGTAGAGTAAAGTAGAATAGAATAGAGTAGAGTAGAGTAGAGTAGAGCAGAATAGAGTAGAATAGAGTGAGTAGAGTAGAGTTGAGTAGAGAGAGTAGAGTAAAGTAGAATAGAATAGAATATAATAGAGTGAGTAGAGTAGAGTGAGTAGAGTAGAATAGAGTAGAGTAGAATAGAGTAGAGTGAGAAGAGTAGAGTAGAGTGAGTAGAGTAGAGTAGAGTGAGTAGAATAGAGTAGAGTGAGTAGAGTAGTGTAGAATAGAGTAGAGTGAGTAGAGTAGAGTAGAGTAGAGTAGAGTAGAGTAGAGTAGAGTAGAATAGAATAGAATAGAGTAGAGTAGAGTGAGTAGAGTAGAATAGAGTAGAGTGAGTAGAGTAGAGTGAGTAGAGAAGAGTAGAATAGAGTAGAGTGAGTGGAGTAGAGTAGAATAGAGTGAGTAGAGTAGAGTAGAGTAGAATAGAGTGAGTAGAATAGATTAGAGTGAGTAGAGTAGTGTATAATAGAGTAGAGTGAGTAGAATAGAGTGAGTAGAGTAGAGTAGAGTAGAGTAGAGTAGAGTAGAGTAGAATAGAATAGAGTAGAGTGAGTAGAATATAGTAGAGTGAGTAGAGCAGAATAGAGTAGAGTGAGTAGAGTAGAGTAGAGTAGAATAGAATAGAATAGAATAGAGTAGAGTGAGTAGAGTAGAGTAGAGTAGAGTAGAATAGAGTAGAGTGAGTAGAATAGAGTGAGTAGAGTAGAGTAAAGTAGAATAGAATAGAACAGAGTACAGTAGAATAGAATAGAATAGAGTGAGTAGAGTAGAGTAGAATAGAGTAGAGTGAGTAGAATAGAGTGAGTAGAGTAGAGTAGAGTAGAATAGAATACAGTAGAATAGAATAGAGTAGAGTGAGTAGAGTAGAGTAGAGTAGAGTAGAGTAGAATAGAGTAGAGTGAGTAGAATAGAGTAGAGTAGAATAGAGTAGAATAGAGTAGAGTAGAGTAGAGTAGAGTAGAGTAGAGTAGAGTAGAGTAGGCTTTACTGATCTGGTTAAGGCAGCACATGGACTTCGAGGAAAGGGGAAATAAACACTAAAGGGCATTAGGTTATTACCGCAGCCTTCAGCACTCAAAAATAGAAAATTAGGTTTGGAAGAAGAAACTGCATAAAAGACATAGACGCATCCCTTCCTGTTCTGTCCATCCAGTCACACAGAAGTTACTGATTAAATAAACTTATTTTGCAATATTTAAGTGGTGAAATATTTTTAAAGGCAGAATTATTTTCTCATCTAAAAATAAAAATATTTTCATCTCATCATCTAAAGGCCGGCCTGTTTCTCAAACATGCAACTGAATTACAGCGACGTCAGTAAACGTGATTTTTAAACAGGATTGTGTTTTTAATGTTAAAACATCAGTAATCACATACATATTTATATGTACACATAAAATATGTCCTAACAGAAAAGTCCTCATTGCAACCATCTGTGCCTGAAGTGAAGGTTTATCTGTTTTAAACGTGCTACACATCCTCGGGTTTTCATTCAGATTTTTAATTAGAATAAGTTAAAGTGAACTTGATGCACTGACCTTTTCTAGTTGCTGACGGCGTTTCTGCTCCTGACGAGTGAAACGTTACAGGTCTGGAGACCAGAAACATGAGAACTGTTGGAGCAGAACACCAACAGTCTCCAGAGGAGAAGCACTGTTCTGGGATCAGATCTACGGTTGGTGACTCAGAAAAACAGGAAATTTCCTCTTCGATGATCGGACTGTTGGTCCTGTTAAACCGTCGGAGCCTCTACACCAACATGAGAGCAGCTCAGACAAAAACAAAAGCAGTCCTGAAGCTGCAGGCTGCTGCAGCTCCTTCAACCTTTCAGGTTATTGGTGAAAAGATTTATGACGACAAAAAGAAAACAAAATGGAAAGGACATAAATTACTTTCTTCTGAAGCAGAAAAAACATTTTTCCATCTGATGAGAACTGAAACAAGTGGGAATGTTTTGGATAGTTTCCTTTTACAGGTACTGGCCAGCAGTGTTGGGAGCGACCCCTTCTTTCCACCGGAGCCGTCAGCAGCGCGAGTCGGCTGCGTCTCAGGAGCAGCGTGTCGCGGCCCTTACGCTATTATTATTATTATTATTATTATTATTATTATTATTATTATTATTATTATTATTATTAACAACAACAAACATCATATTATTATTTTTAATAATATTTTTGTTATTATTACTATCAATAACAACAAACAGCATATTTTTATTATTATTATTATTATTATTATTATTATTATTATTAATAATAATAATAATAATAATAATAATACCTAACTGCATCAAATAAACATTCAGCCAGAGACAAAAACATGTTTTATTTTCAATAGGAAAAGCATTTTTGTATTTGACGAGGTTAAGTATTTTTCCGCCCCCTGCTGGACAGAATTAGTTACTACATGCAGCATTCCTAAAGCTAAACAAAGCACTTCCTGTGGATTCCTTCAAAATAAAACACATTGCAGATTTTGAATTGGCGTTAACAGCATAGTTAGTCTAAATAATAGGAATGCCAGAATGCCTCCCATTATACAAGCTACTACTACACCTCAATTAATCTATGAATATCAATAATCAGTGTTCAACTAGATTAAATCAATGAGCTAAAGCTGCACTAGCTAGCAGCTAGCTACCAACACCTCTGAACAGCACCTCAAACATCAGATCGGTCGCTCTCTAATGGCAACAAGGCAAACCTGCATCCATGGTAGACAGAGGGATTCTTCTCTTAATTAAGTTCATTAAGTTAAAATAATAAATTTAGCTTTTAAACCAAACTACAACTCAGACTACCCACCCTTTTTGGAGATCCTTCCGATGACTCCCTCGTTCTGCTGGGGGACTTTAACGCTCACATGGGCAACGACAGTGAGACCTGGAGAAATGTGGTGGAGAGGATCAGCGCCTTGGGCTTCCTGACAGAGTTGCGGAAGGCACTTTATAAATAAAGCTTTGATTGATTGATTGATTGATTGATTGATTGATTGAGGATCGCCCCCCCCACCCCCCACCCACCCCCCGATCTGAATTAGAGCTGTGTTTTGTTACTGGACTTCTGTGCCAGTCATGGATTGTCTATAGCAAACATCATGTTCTGACACAAAGGTGTCCATAAGTGCTCTTGGCACCAGGATGCCTTAGGCTGCAGCTCGATCGACTTTGTTGTCTTCTCATCTGATCTGCGGCCGCATGTCCTTTGACACTCAGGTAAAGAGAGACTCGCCACTACCAGGTGGTGAGCTGGCTTCGATGGTGGGGGAGGATGCCGGTCAGATCTGGCAGGCTCAAACGTATTGTGAGGGCCTGCTGGGAACATCTGGAGGAATATCCTGTCAGAAGAAGTTTCAATTCCCACCTCCGACAGAATTTCCCAAATGTTTCAGGAGAGGCGGGGGACACTGAGTGCAAATGGGTCATGTTCTGTGCTTCCATTGTCGAGGCAGCCAACCAGAGCTACGGCCGCAAGGTCGTCTGTGTTTGTCATGGCGGCAACCCCCAAACCCGCTGGTGGACACCGACAGTTAGGGATGCCCTCAAGCTGAAGAAAGCGTCCTATTGGTTATTTTTGGCCTGTGGGACTCCAGAGGCAGCTGATGGGTACCGGCAGGCCAAGCAGAATGCAGCTAGGGGCTCAGGGAGGCAAAAATCTGGGTGTGGAAGGAGTTTGGTAAGACCATGGAACAAGACTTCCATACGACTTTGAGGAGATTCTGGTCCACCATCCAGCGCCTCAGGAGGGGAAAGCAGTGCGCTACACCGCTACCAACACTGGTTACAGTGAGGAGGGTGTGCTGCTGACCTCAACTCGGGATGTTGTGGATAAGTGCACGAAGTACTTTGAAGACCTCCTCAATCCCACCATCTTCCAGTGAGGAAGAAGAGTCTGGAATGAATGCTTATACACATTTCTTCACTTCTATAACTCAACAAATCCATTGAATGATCTCTGTATCAGTGGCCTAAAGCCGGAAAGATTAGTAGATAGCTACAAAACAGAGATTACTGTAAGATGGTTTAAAGTTTTATTAAGAAAAGGAGGCTAAAATGTTCTCTTCCAAATGGCCAAAAAGGAAACAGGTGTGGTACTAGCTTTCAGACACTGGAGGGCAGCACCTCGCCATTTTCCTTCTATTCTAAATACTTTTATAAACCTAGGTGTCACACAGAGGGTGCTCTCTCGGGCCAATACGGAGATGCTGATGCATGCTTTTACCACCACCAGGAGAATAGACTACAGTAATGCCCTGCTTCCCAAAAAGAGCATCTCAGGTTTACAACTCTTACAAAAATCAGCAGCACGTGTCCTGATGAAGACCAGGAAGCGGGAGCACATCACTCCGGTTTAAGAATCATTGCATTGGCTCCTCGTACGTTTCAGGGTCGATTGTAAGTTTTTTAATGGTTTTAGGCACCTTTGTCTTGGCCCTTCTTACCTCTCCAAACTGCTACAAACACTCAAGGCCTCTGGCAGCTGCCGCCTTGTATAATAACGATGATAATAATAATAATAATCATCATCATCATCATCATCATAATGGTTACGCTTTAGTTTAAGAAACAAAAAGTAACCATTAATTTGTTGCCAATAAAATGCATATTAGTGGGCTACAGAGTCTGAATTAGTCATAATTAAGCTATTATTAGGTACTTATTACCAATGCTGTAATTCTAATATTAGCAGACCATAAATTAAGAGTTTTATCAAAATAAGCCATGCATAATGGTTTGTTAACAGAAAGTAGATGGTTTGTTGCTGATTAACACACATACTAATTAGCTCAAACAAATATGTGGTTTTTAAGAAGTAATTCAAGGGGAATAGTTATTCTTCATTAATAACCAAAAATATGTTCTGGTATGTAAATAAACACCAAACTCCATGTTAATAGAGCCTAAACAACAGTCAATTAACCACTTGTAAGCAAGAATATGTTCCCCATTCTAAAGTCAGCTTTTGTTCATACCTAATTACTAGTAGTTTAGTATTAATTAACCAAGAATATCAGTATGTTCCCCTTGAATTACTTCTTTAAAAGCCACATATTGATTTGGGCTAATTAGTATGTGTGTTACTCAGCAACCAACCATTTACTTTCTGTTAACAAACCACTATGCATGGCTTATTTTGATGAAACTCTTAATTTATGGCCTGTTAATCTTAGAATTACTGCATTAGCAATAAGCTGTTAATAACTACTTGATAAACACTAGTTCAGACTTAGTAGTCCACTAATATGCACATTAATTGGCAGCTAATTAATGGTTAATTTGTGTTCCCTAAACTAAAGTATTTCCATAATAATAATAACAACAACAACAACAACAACAACAATAATAATAATAATAATAATAATAATAATAATAATAATAATTTGTATTGGCAAGCACCTTGCAGGACTCTCAAGGTCACTTTAAGAGAAATTACATAATCCAGGTTAAACACTGTTAGGTTAAAAATGCAAATCAAACAGTTAAATGAACACAAGTTAAAAATGAAAACAGTAAAATGCTAAAATACTAAACTAACAATTCAAGTTAAAATTATCAACAGATAAGTCATAAATAACCAATAAATAAATCATTGTTATAAAGATATATTAGTTAAAATCTACTTAACATAACACTAGGAAGTACGCAGTCAAGCCAATGTTTGCGGTTACATTAGATGTACGAGCAAGCCGGAATAAATGTTTTCAGCAATGATTCAAACTGGGTGATAGAAGGAACCATACGGACGTCTATACTGTTCCATAACCGCGGAGCCTGTGAGCCAAAAGACCTGATGCCCATAGAGGATAGAGTCTATCTGATAGACGGACTTGAGCTATAACAAGCAGGTTACTGGAAGTTGAGCCGTGTTAGTGGTGGTGTGTTCAGACTGAGTCGGTCACGTAAATAACCGGGGTCATGGTATTTACAGATTCAAACATTAAAATTCTCAATTCATTGCGGTGACTTACTGGGAGCCAATGAAGCTCCTCAAGAATAGGAGTGATATGTTGAGAGGACGGTGTCCGAGTAATGGTACGGGCTGCCGCATTCTGTACCAGCTGTAGTTTGTGGAAAGTTTCTGTGATAGGCCAGCGAGTAAGGCATCACAGGAGGCCAGACGAGCTGTCACCAGGCATCTACAAGAGTCTTCGTGTCATTTATAGTCAAGGATGAATCTAATCCATTAATGTTGTGCAAATGAAATACGCAGGACTAACAAATCCATTCACATGCATTAAATAAGAGACTGTTATCTAAGGTAACACCCACATTTTTAACCTGAGCGGACGACCAAAGTGTGGACACACACCCATGGTGAGGCGTCCTTCCAGGCCCTCGTCTCTGGAACAGGCTGCAGAGGACCTCAGGCCGTAGAGGATGTTCATGTCTTTAGGAGCAGGCTCAACACTCACCTGTTTAGCTTTTAGCTGATTATTATTTATGATTTACTTGCTTCTATTTTAAGACAGTTTTACTACATATTTATGTTTTTGCATTGTTTTACTATTTCTATGTATTTATTTTTATAATGCCTCTTGTTATTCTATTGTTTTACTTATTCTAATAGTTTACAGCGTTTCCTCTGAGGGAGCCCTCTGCCTCAGGGCCGGTGGTCGGCGGCCTCGGTGCTCTCCAGGTAGTGCCTGGTTTGGCTTTAAGTCCGAGCTGGGAACAGATCTGTGCATCTACGGCCTGAAGGAGGCAGCTCAGTCTTACGTAGGACACAACTCCTCAGTGTTGATGGGGTTTACTGATGCATCGAAGGCATTTGACCGGGTCAACCACTCTAACCTTTCTTAAAATCAAGTGAAAGAGGTGTCCCTGATAGCATTCTAACAATCAGGGCGTACTGGTATTGTAATCAGAAGATGCAAGTTAAATGGGGAAATACTCTATCAGCCACCTTTGGTGTTGGTAATGGGGGCGTCGGGGGGGCTGCTGTCACCGTATCGCTTTAACCTATACATGGATGATTTGTCTTAACAACTAAACAACCGTTTTAGGTGGTTGTGTGGTTGGTGACGACCTGATTAATCATTTCACGTATGCTGACGACTTCATCCTTTCTCCCAGCAGTGCTGGGTTCCAGCAGCTCTGAGTTCGGTCTAAAGTATGACGTCCAATTCAACGAAAATAAAGAGTTGTACTGAACCATCGGACCAAAGGAGATAAAGATCTTTGTTTCCCAGACTTTTACTTGGCTGACAAAAAGATACGCGTCTCAGACGGATCATCTCTGTGATGATGATGACGTTTATCGGCAGTGCCGTTTTCTGTAGGCCCAGGGAGCTTCACGTGTGTTCAGGCAACCTGAAAATCCACCTCTTCAGAACTTACGGTACACCTCTGTGGTGTAAATATAAGAGAGCTGGCATGCAGAAGCTTAAAGAGCAAGTCACCCCCTACCAGAGTATCACTCCGCTCCCACTTCCTGTTTGAAAAATGCAACAAATGCTGTAGACCGAGTGGGCGGAGCCGCTAACAAATACACACACACAGGCTCACAATGACTGTGTGACATCATACGGTACCAGCTAACGTTCTAGGGTACCTCTTAGCCAATAGCGATGGCAGATTTAAATTCAAATGCAGTGCAGAGGTTTTACCTGACAACGGCACAACACTGACAGTTTTAGGCAGAAAATTAAAATGTTTACTAAAATGCACTAAAGTGCAAAACTATTGACGACACGTGTCTGCAGCACGATTAGACACACATGTATGTAGTTAACCCCGGCTTTCCACAGGAACCGTCAGCAGCACATTACTGCAGCAGCACGTCATAGCTGCTGATAGGAACCGCTGTGGTCAACAGAACCTTTTCCACCGGAGCCGTCAGCAGCGCGAGTCGGCCGCGTCTCAGGAGCAGCATGTCGCGGCCTTTACGCGCCGGTTCTATTTTCTACGCGCGACGCCTCTGAAACGGGTCAATTTCGACATTTTTGGGGAAGGAAAGACAGGAAATCGGACGCAGAAATGGAGAGAAGCACCCTGAGATTTTCAGAATAAAGAACGTGCTGCCTTCCGGTTGCTTTACTTTTAAAAAAGGTTACTAACTGTGCGTCCCCGTGAGAAGTTTTCACCTAGCTAGCGGTCTCCTTTGTTTTTCAGGTCCGTATTGGCGATTATAAAACGGACAGAACATAAAACACAAACCATGTTGTAGTTTTCTCCTGCTTGTTGTTGTGTTTACTGACGAAGTCACTCGTGTGACTTCGTGCTCGGTCGATGACAGCTGCTCCCCTGCTGCTTCGCGTCTCGTGGGAAGGGCCAAGCAGCAGCTAGACGTGCTGCTGACGGCTCCCGTGGAAACCCGGGGTTATAAGGAAAATAAGTGGATTTGGGGGTGACTTGCTCTTTAAGGTAGCATATGATGATTGAGGGCTCTGCTCAGAAAGCCCAGGTCCAGTAGACCAGCTTGTTTAGTAATGCTCATGTCAGCAACTTTCAAGCTCTAATGAGGAAACGGGTGTGCAGGTTTCCTCTGCAAACAGACTTATCCTGATGTAGGTGGGTCCTGATTGTAGTGCAGCGCGTCACCCATGTGGAGACACCGGTATGGGTGTCTTTTACAATGCCTGTTTTGTATGTATTTTATTGTATTCATTCTTTTCTTTTATTATTTTTTATTTTGGACCATTTAATAAAAGTCGATCTGTCTCCACTAAATGAAACAAGAACGTTCACCCATGCTGTTTATTGTGAAGAGGACAGCTGTGACAAACAGCATGAAGGTAAAAACACATTTTCTCGGGTTTATCTGTCAGAGTGAATTTCTAATGTTCTCCTTTCTACGTGGAATCCGTGGAAGTCAGATCCACGGAAGTTTCCTTTCCTGGGAAAAGGTGTTGTCAGCATGCACAGAAACACGTGTCCTGCTGGCTTTAGTGGCAGCACCTGCAGAGGTCACACAGGTCACAGGAGCAGCAGGGAGGACACATCCAGCTGTGGCTTTGAACGTTCAGGTGCGACTCTTGAAGGTGATGCGTGCCTTTTCCCTTAAAGGGAACAGGACTTCTGATCTGTGCATCAGTGATGAGAGCCGGATTACCCAGAGGAGAATAACAGTTGCAGCCACATCGCAGGAAGCCCGGACTAACGGGATGTTTTTAGGTGATAAACACGTCTTTGTGTTTTTTTTCATTTGTACATTAAAGCTTTTAAAAATCAGCGAGTCATGAATAGCTTCTTCTCTAATCCAGGGACGCTGCGGCCATCCTCTTTTCATTGTTCTCAGCATTAAGGAGTCCACTCCAGACGTCTCCCCGCCCCGCCGGCCCACCATCACAGCACCACCCACGGGCGACGCCACAGAGGACAAAGTTCCATCCGTCTTGAACGACTTGTAAATGTGCTTTAAACAGGAAGTGCACGCAAGCATGCTGCTGTATTTCTCTCTGAACCAGCCCAGGGTCCCGGTTAGGTCCCGGAGTGAGTGTCGGGAAGACGCTGCTCCAGGGTCTCGTCCACCGTGACCACAGTCTCCTCCGACCTGCTCGGGTTCAAGCAGCTGTTGTGGTTGTAGTTCACCTCCACCCGCTCGCTCACATTGGTGATGCAGCTGATCTTGGTCTCGTGGTTGGCAGCTCGATGGGCGCTGAGCGTCCAGTCTGCAGACAGAGAGGGGATGCTGGTGGTGAACTGGGTTCTCGGGCTCAAACATCTGAAACCCACACTGGTGTAGCGCCTTTCAGAGTCAGAGGACTCCACTACAGAGCGTCATTCATCCGTTCACACACACCCCTCCGCTCATAAAAATGCATACATTCATATGTTGCTTTTCCTTTTTCATAGATCTGTTAAACAAGTCCAGCCCTGCTCAAACCTATAAAGTTTTATCATTTTAACCCTTGAAATGCCAGCTTTATTACTCAGTGCTGTTGCTGTAATTATGAAAAAAAGCACATAAAACGAGTTATTTTCCCCAAAAAAACACAATTTTTTTCTGCCTGGGGCTTTTATTACAGATCAGACTTGGTTATATTATGAAATATCTGAAAATGATAATGAGTATTTATCTAAATATTAACCCTTTGTGTGCCAGCCTGATTATGTCATGCTAGTTTTTAATGGGAAAAAACAAACTAAAGAGGAGATATTTGACTTAAAACGTATTTTGGGTGGCATGAATAGATGTTTTTAAATCAGCTGACATGTGCAGACGTGTATTGTAATTTATTAGCGATTTTACCCTTTTTTGGCCTGTGGGAGGAAACTGGAGCACTGGGAGAAAATCCACGCATGCATGGGAAGAACATGCTAACTCCATGTAGACAGGCTGCAGCAGGGATTCTGACTTGTGACCTCCTGCTGGGAGGCGACGCCACCATGCAGTTTGTCTGGGGAAGCTTGAGCATCTTACCAGGATAGTTTAGATCTTGGATCCTCTGGTCCTGAGAAATCATTTTCAGTTTGTAGCCTAAAGAAACGTCTGCGTGATGAAAGCGGACTGAGCTGTGTTTGGTAACATAAATCAGCTGTGGCAGCCATCTTGAACAGCGGTTCTGATGGTTTCATTATGATCCATCCTAGAGACTTCTGCTTAAACGGCCCAAAAATCCGACCTGCACAACTTCCAGAGCCTCCGAGAGTTTTGGAAGTTTTGCTTTAACACCACGGGAACCGTTAACACGTCAGCGCACCAACACGGGACTAAACATGCCACAGAACCTGATCCAACATCGGATGGGTTCAGCTCTGGTGATTCCATCAGAAGCAAAGCAGCAGAGCGTTGTTTCTGGAGGAAACGTCTGCCTCGTGTGCTGGAGCCTGTTTGAAGACGGACACATCCATCACTGCTGCGTCAGAGCACAGATTAGAGCTGACAGCTGCGAGCATGGAGACGGCAGAACCCAGGGTCACTTCTAAAGTGGTGCGTTTAAGGAACAAGGGACCTCACTCGGGTGACTGAGCGCGCTCAGACCTAATGTTTGGGTCTGATCAGTCACCTTTAACCAGATAACCAGTCAGATCGTTTCTATCTTTAACATTATTGTGGGAGTCTGCACGGTTTTTGGACCTAAAGGTGGTCCACATTACAGCTGAGCTTCAGACAACAGGATCTGGAGTTCCTGACATTTGGACATCTCTTCTCTGATTGGCTAACAGCAGCTCAACTCTACCACTGTGGACAGGTGTATTTAATTAAACCGACCAGTGGCAGCTCGTCCATAGGGGGCGCTGGGGCACCGCCCCATCAGTCTCACAGGAAGAAGAAGAAGATAGGAAACAGGAAATGAAATAAAACACAGGATAATGATGTATACATCACAGAGACTACGGGTGTTTCTCAATGGCCAGGCGCCTTGCTTACGAGGACGCTGTCCCTCCTTGGTCAAAGAAAACGGTTAAATGGAACAGACTTGCATCAAGTGACACGGGAGATAACGTTATATTTTATACGTATTAGTTTCAATATAAATATATAACGAGACTTTTACTTTTTTAATTGTGTAAATGTTTATTAAATTAAAAATATAAGTGAGTTACTACCCGCTAGCCACCGAAGCTGCAACTGCTAAGCTACTAACCAACCACAGATAACTTCTTTGGATCTAAAAAAACATTTTAAATTAGCTGACTTACTTTTAAACTTGAAAATTGTCCCTGAAGTAGCTGCCGGCTTCTGATCCGCCGTCCTTTTGAAAATACCGCGGTGTATTCTGGGTAATTTTTGACCAAGGCTAGGCTACAAGACACCTCCCACGTATCCTCGCTCAGCTAGCTAAACGGCTAACAAACGGAGAACACACGCCTCGGTAAAACATGAACACTGGAACACGTCTTGGCGGCTCCCGATGACGTATCTCCTAGGCAACCGGGGCGGGGCCAAGACATCGAGGCGAGGCTCCTTGACACTGAGAGACACCCAGTAAGTGCCGTGTGGAACCTGTAGTGTAGTTTAAATGTTCTCTCACACTTTTACCTCCACCTAAACCACTTGGGACGTACTTCCTGTTCCTTTTTAGGCGCAGCGATCTTTACCTTGTGGGGCAACAGTGGCACAGGAGTTAAGTGCTCGCCCTGTAATCGGACGGTTGCAGGTTCGAGCCCCGCTCAGTCTGATGCTGCTGTTGTGTCCTTAGGCAGGACACTTAACCCGCCTAGCCTGCTGGTGGTGGTCAGAGGGACCGGTGGCACCAGTGCTCGGCAGCCTCGTCTTTGTCAGTGCGCCCCAGAGCAGCTGTGGCTACAGTGTAGCTCATCCCCACTAGGATGTGTGAATGGGTGAATGACTGATTGTGTTGTAAAGCGCCTTGGGGGTTGCTGGACTCTAGAAGGTGCTATATCAAGTACAGGCTGTTCACCATAGACCTACGCTGTAACTGATGCTGGACCCCTCTACTATAAAGAATAGGAGAGCCGTTGAGTGTAGAGGTTTGTGACCGAAGCAAGACCGGAGTCTCGGATCAGATCAGGATGTTCACCTGGAACCAGAAGCTCTCACCATTCTGTGTTCGCTGCAGAGCGGCTGAGTGATTTTTTTAATATGGAGAAAACTCACATCTTTGAAAAGAACCGTTGAAGAGAAGAACGTAACAATAAAACGTAGCCTTAAAGAGCGTGGACCCGGCGGACCGGACTTTACAGCCTCAGGACCTCAGGATCCCATTGGACTATCTGAGCGAGACATCGGTTGAAACCCCTAAGCCAATAGAATCGCTTGTTGTTGAGTTTTTATCAGCTGGGTTTCATAATACCCAATGACAGGAAGAGGAACATCATAAACCTTCTTATCCGGCTCTCAGAGAGTACAGACGCTTTTTCTTCAGCTCCCTTATCTGCTTCCCCAAGGCTCTTGTCCTGTCTGCCTACAGAGCACTTCTCTGCATTTCTCCTGAAATCACTACTTCTTTTTTGGAAAATGGACTTAATTAACTGGTCATTCAACGCGATTGATAAGATTTTTTCTACGATGAGAACGGAGAAGGGGGCTCCCACCTGTCCTCAAGGGACATTCGCAGCGGGATATGCACTCGATTCTTGGGAGGTCTGGCGAATCGTGTGCCTCTCTCAGCTGTCCATCGAGGACGTGGAAGATTTGTGGATGTTCGGCCTGATGATCACTGGATTTCTTCTGATTGGAGTGGGAGGATATCTGGTTTTCTGGAAATTTGGGAAGACGGGAGCGATTGGAGTGCGACCCGTACCCATGGAATGTGCCGCCCGTGCGGTGACCTCACAGACTGGGGCGTTACTCGAGATGAACCGTAAGCTGGACAATGTCCTCGCGGCGTTGCCTGTGTTAGTGCGCAAGATGGATGTCATCTCGGAGAGGGTCGCCGGACGGTGTGGGGATGTTTAGAACGCATAATTGGCTTCACTGGTGGACATGAATGATCACTTAACAGACTCCAAGGCAGAGAGGAAAATTATCTCTGTCTGCCCCAAACAAAGTCTTGTTTATCCTAATCTGACGCCAAGGCTGCCTCCAAGGCTGCCATCAACACACCCCCATGAAAGGAGGAATGCTGACAGATGCTGTGACCCGACCGTCCCCCCCTGCCTTCAGATTGTGACTTCTGCTTCGAGGTCATCAACCTGCAGGAAACTCAATGTGCTCTCTGTCCCTCATCTCCCCCTCCCACCTGTTTGACTGCAGCTGGCTGAGTGCTGTACTGGCAGCTCCCGTTGGAGGATTCAGGATCCCGCCCCACCCCGCCTACCTATCGGAGTCTGATGTTGTGTATCTGTGATGTTCGGGCTTCTATGTTGAGGAGTTTTTTTGTATAATAGAGTTACTCCCCGCTGGTTCTAACTCTGCTATGCCTTTTTTACCTTACCCCAGTTATCTTCATGTAACACCATTTTCATCTAATGAAATGAGCGCCGTTATGGCTGCTCTCGTGGACTGCCTGTACCTGTTTTTGTCTACATGTGTGTGTGTGTGTGTTTAACCTTGGTCAGGTTGTGTTTGCGGAGTCAAGTTCCTATGCTCTGGGTCGCTGGAGCACTGGCAATAAAGCTTATTCTGATTCTGATTCTGATAAACCGGAAAATGGTGGAGATTCCTGAACACTCTCCAGCAGGAGTGTGACATTGGGACAAAGTATTACACAAACCGTGTGGATTTAATCTGCTAGAACACAGATTAGGACCATGAACCTAACCTGTGTTTTGCTGCTGCATTGGCAGCTTGCTCATATGAATGGTAATTTGGCACCCCCTGGTGGTGATATGTGGTTAGAGCGCAAATGACTGACTTGCAAAAATCACCCCACCCAAAACTCACCAGCACCACTGCAGTTAACCAGTTGACACCGGTACCATCAATACAGCTAACCAGTGGAGGACAGAAGAGCTGGATGAGAAGTAGCCCGTCTGTGAGGGACAGACTGGTCGCTAAGTGCTTAGTTTCTGCACCACGATACAAATAAGATCTTCAGAAATCACAAAATGTGCTTTCAAGGATTTTTAAAGCGCTCCTCACCACATCTGAAGATGGCAGAAACGAAACCCTGAACACTGCAGAAGTAGAAGAGGCTACCATCTGAATACAGCAGAAAAACTCTGAGGTGATGAGTGCTGCTTATCGTGGCTGCATGCACTGATGTGAGGAGAGTCCCAAACCCACCACCCCACCTAGTGGACACTAATTTTGTGTAATGTCTGAAGTCTGTTGCATTCCTGTCTGAGGTGTTTTTTTTTTTTTTTTTTTGCAGAGCAAAGCTGCCCTCCCTCTGGAGGGTGACTCTGAAGTGCCTTTTTTTTTCCTCCACCTCAACCAATCCTCAAATGAACCCCTCTGATCTCTATTAAGGTAGCGCGACTCAGGGTTGCGAATGACCACAGTCACCAATTCTTGTCATGTGTCTTGCCCATGTATGTCTGATCTCTGAATTGTGTGTACTGAAACTCTAATTTCCCTCTGGGATTAATAAAGTATCTTTGAATTGAATTTGAAATAGAGATTAGTTCTTTAAGACTGACAAGCTAACGACTAATAGGCTCGACACACGGGAGGCGACATCGCCTCTCCTCCATTCATTTTCAATAAGACATGCACGACAACGCGATAATCGCGGGTCTCCCTCCTACCAAGCGAAACGCGAAAAACGTGCATGTGAAATTTTGCGCTCGTGCACGTGTCGTGCACAGGCGACCCAGCGACGCGATCCCAGAAAGTTGAAACATTTTCAACTTTTCATCGCTGTCGCTCGGACGAGGACCAATCAACGGAGGTTTCATTCACTGACCAATGAGCGGACAGGATGCTCCGTACACCTCCGAGCAAACATGGAGGAGAAGTTGATTATTATTATGTTTTATAGTAAAATCAGAAGTAAGATTTCACATAACTCTAGCAGCACCTTGTGAAACATCATATCTACCACTTTATTAACTCTGAACCGCTTAAATAACCTTAATTCCCTCCAACCTGACACAGCCAATCAAAACAACGCAAGTTTGGATGTCGCCATGGAACAGAACGCGTAGACGGCTTTGCCGCTGCCGCGGATCGCCTCCCGTGTGTCAGGAAATAAAAGCGACGGCGACAAATTTCGCTGATCGCGGTCGTTTGTCGCCTCCCGTGTGTCGAGCCCATAACATGCGTATCTCGAGTTTTTGTTGTTGTTTTTTAAAAAAAATTTCAGGAATTTGATGCTTTTAGAAAAATAATGAAAATAAAAGCTGATTTGAGACTAAATGTAAATAAATCCTGAAGCAGCAGGTCCGTGTGACCTTAAACACAATCAAGCAACTCTTCAAAGGCACTGTGGAGGTTTTTGTCCTCACCAGGCTGCTGTTGTGGTGCACCAGGTCACATAGAAGGTGCAACTTTAGTGTCCCACCTCACCTCCCCGTAAGAGCAGCGGACCACAAACACTCCACATTCACACCAAAGGCCCAGGAGCCTGCACAGCCTCTCGGGTGTGTGTGTGTGTGTGGGGGGGGGGGGGGGGGGGGGGCTGTCTCTGTGGCACCGGCTAAGTGCTGTAGACTATGACCCACGTCAGCTCCATTTTTTACCTGGCTCACTGCTTTCACCGCCGTCACCTTCAGCAACCATCGACCGGCCTCCACCTGCAGAACAGACGTGTTTGGGTCACATGGAGCGAACATGCACACGTGTGGTCGTGTGGCAGCATCCGTTTCACAGAAAACCTGGTCAGTACTTTAGGAGAAAGGTCTAACTAGGGCTCTGAAAAAGCGTAGCTTTAATTCAGGTTTTATTGTTGTTTTTATTTATTTTACTGTAAAACTTTTATTGTAACTTACTGTCACCATTACAGCCGATCATTGCAATCTGTATTCGATTAGTTTGGCTTGTTAAGCACCTTGGTCATTACGCTGTTGTAGAGCTAAAAAAATAAGGTGTGTGTGTGTGTGTGTGTGAGAGAGAGAGAGAGAGAGAATATGTGTATGTGTGTGTGTGTGTGTGTGTGTGTGTGTGTGTGTGTGTGTGTGTGTGTGTGTGTGTGTGTGTGTGTGTGTGTGTGTGTGTGTGTGTGTGTGTGTGTGTGTGTGTGTGTGTGTGTGTGTGTGTGTGTGTGTGTGAGGGTGAATGACTAGAGTAGTCCTTGCAGAATGACGTTAAATTAGGTATTAAATTATGATTAAAAATAAACAACCGTTTTAAATGCTAGAATTTATTATTATTTTACGTTTTAAAAGGTTAAAAGTTGGTTATTAACACTTCTTTGCTGAACTCAGATGATTTTCTTTATTGGTTGGGTCAACACTCAGTTACACATGTCAGCAGATGAATGCGGTGATTAGCGAAATGAAGTTGGATTTACAGAAAGTGTGCAATAACTGGACATTAGGACACCCATGTTGTTTTATTGATGTGAAAACCTTTAGCACCAATTATTGGAACGTAAAATTTGTTTTGTACACTCACCGACCTTTGACCTCCATACACAGGAAATCTAATAATGATAAAAAGTCTTTAAGGGGGCCAATTGTAGGTTGTCCTCCTCTTTGAATATTCTCTGAAGAGCAGAAACACGGGTCTCAGAACAACTCCCACATGGGCTGAAAACAAAGATGGTTCACCATCGTGGTTCAGGGGAAGGACACGGAAAGCTGTCTGAGAGATTCCAGATGTCTGTTTCCACCGTTAGGATCAAACTGAGGAAATGGAAGACCACAGACACAGTTCTAGTTAAGGCTCCAAGAGGCAGACCAAGAAACATCTGGGATGAACCGAAGTGAAGGATGGTGAGAACAGTCAGAGTCACCCACAGACCAAAGACCTACTACATCATCTTGCTGCAGATGGAGTCACTGGGCATCGTTCTACTATTCAGTCCACTTTACACAAGGAGATGTTGTATGTCACAGTGATGCAGAGGAAGCCTCTTCTCCACCCACAGCACAAACAGAGCAGCTTGAGGTCTGCTGAAGCACATCTGGACAAGCCAGCTTCATTCTGGAACAAGCTGCTGTGGACTGATGAAACTAAACTGAGTTATTTGGGCAGAACAAGAAGAAAAACGCCTGCTACTACAGTAAAACACGGTGGTGGCCCCATCATGCTGTGGGCTGCGTGGCCCAGGACAGGGACTGGGAATCTTGTTACTGAACATCTGAGGTGTGAGTTAGAGAGAGCTGTCCATGCTCAGAAGCATCAGACCTGAATGAACTAGAGATGTTTCGTGAAGAAGAACGTTCCAGAACACCTTCAGCCAGAATCCAGACTCTCATTGGAAGCTGCAGGAAGAGTTCAGAGGCTGTTGTTTCTGCAAAAGGAGGATCTACTAAATACTGACTTCATTTCTTTTTCGAGGTGCCCAAATTTTTGCACCTGCCTAATTATGTTTAAACAATTATTGAACTTTCTGTAAATCCCGTAAACTTTGTCTCACCTCTCCAACATCGTGTGTGTCTCCTGTGTGATGTAACAAACATCAGGTCACACGGATCTGATCTGAGAAAGTATCCAAATGATGCGAAGCTACGAGTCTCTATCAACCCTCCTCAGGTAAAACGAGTGAATTTGGTTTAAATGATGACATCTGGTTTGTATGATAGTTGTTCCTTCCTGGAATCAGTCAATAAAGTTTTTGTTCCATCCTTTAGAAAACGAAGGAACTCCAAGTGTGGAGCAATTTATCCAAAACTTTAAACACTCTCCTGATCAAACTGCTGCATATTCCAGATCCCAACAGTGATTCATGAGGAGTTGGGACATTGTGTCCTTCTGCTGCTCGGTGTCCCCGTCCCTCCTGACCCAACATGTTTGTATTTTACCCGAATCTGATCGCCTGACCGCCCCTAAACGACCAGGACCTAAGATAGACTCTTGGCTTCAGTTCTCTCATTCATCATGCATCCAGAACAGGAAGTTCTGTGAAGATCTCAGACACCTGCTGATGGACAGAAGAGTCACTCACAAGGTCATCAGTTGATGCTGCAGGCGGGAAATCCTCTCATCTACCTTAACTGAGTCAGCTAGAATAATCTACAAGATTATTTAATGCAACTGAAATCTAAACGTTTCTCTGATGTTTTAGAACGAGTAAAGTGTGAATCTGTTCACGCTGCGCACTTACTAACGCACGTCCCGCATGCACACGCTCACACACGCACTGTCAGAGGGCACATACCCACGAAGTCGTTAAGAACGTCTTTGACCAGATGTCCAACTATGGCGTAGGCCACCGCCACCACCACCAGCGCCGCCATCAGCAGGTACAGCACCGCCTTGGGCAGCGGGATGGGGTCTCGCGCGGGGTTGCGGAAGTCCGTGAGCAGCAGGTCGCTCTCGGAGTAGGAATACTGGAGGACGTGATCCATGCCCGAGGTGTGGTTGGAGTTGAGAGGCGCGTCGCTGGCGCTGATGGCACCGTCCGGCTGCAGGGAGGTCACCACGGTGGTGGTAGCGCTCTCCGCCCTCTCCATGCTGACCAGCCCGCTGGTTTTATTCATCAGAGGCAAGATCCGAGACAGGAAGTAGCTCCAGTCCTTGATGGCGCTGGTGTTGCACACAAACATCGTTTCCTCCATGTGGACCCGCGGGGTGGGCTGAACTCTCCAAACTTCTCCTTCCAGAGGAAAGCTGGATGCGGTTTTCCTAAAACCCCACAGGTTCCTGCAGATGGGGGGTCGCTCTCCAGCGCGAGCTCATGGGTGCGTCTGAGAATTTAGTTCCTGCTGGGAGGCATGACGCGCAGAACACTGGCGGGGGCGCAACTTTTACGCACAACTGAAGACGGAAAATCCTTCCTCTGGGTTGCATTTAGCTGGAGACGCGGGAGCGCGGAGAGCACAGAACGAGCCAAAAGCACGTTTCCTCACGAGCTCAGACACGTTGGATGACAGAATCCTGCAGCGAGCCCGACTGAAGAACCCACGGAGCCCCCGGGAGTCACGACTCTGCCTCCGCTGATTGGTGAGGAGCGCCCGGAGCCGCGCGTCCGCCTCTGGGAGCTCCGGTGGCGGAGAGGTGAGACTTTCTGTTGAGCTGCAGAGCGGATGTTACCCAGCAGGATCTGTCTAATCCCAGAATAAACGGGAATAAATGTGATTCAAATAATCAGATCTGAGACATTCTGGAGGCAATTGGTCAAGTCAGGTTTACCCATGAGGTCCAGAAATCAGCAACATCAATTGACCAATCACTGAGATTTAGTTTTTTATTGTTTGGTTCCGTAAAATCAGTAAATCATAAGCAGCCAACAGCTTTAACAGAAACAACAGACCAGTGGGAATGTTTATGATCGGGAGCAGAATCAACCAAACAGGCCAAATCACGGGAAAAACGAGGCTCGTGGGACCAAATGCACTCTGAGTAGATACTCATACAGAGTATCTACTCAGAGTACATACTCTATATGAGTAAAATGTACTCAGCTGGAGTTAAACTAACTCAACAGATTTTGATCTGATGTCACCTGTTTGTTAAACAGCAGCAGGAACATTCAGCCTCACATTTCAAACAGAAAAGAGAGGCTGGTTGCTGGTGCAACGCCCAGAAGGGTCCAGTCAGAAAGAAGCTCACTCCCATCCTGAGTCATGAGTTAGAAATAAAAATAGTACATTAAAGGTAGTTTATACCTGCAGCTACATAATAAAAACAACCTAACTGAAAATTAATAAAATGTTTTCTATTAAAACACTCCGGAGCTGTTAGGGAGGTGTCTGTTACTCCAGGTGTGGGGGTTGTTAGCTGCTAGTTAGCTGCTAGTTAGCTGCTAGTTAGTTGCTAGTTAGCTGCTAAATATATAACTAGCAACAACGATTAATAAATCGAGGATTTAGTTTTACTGAGATTAAAATCAGGAACATGAACTATTTCTAATGCTCCTCCTGAGACAGAAGGAGCAGCTGCCTGTCTATCCATCCATCCACCCACCCACCCACTCATTCATTCATTCATCCATTCATTCACCCACTTACCCATTCATTCATTCGTTCATCCATACATTCATTCAACCACCCATCCAACCATCCATCCATTCACCCATTCATCAATTCATCCATCCATCCATCTATCATCCACCCATTCATTCACCCATCCATCCATCCATCCATCCATCCATCCATTCATTCACCCACCCACCCATTCATTCATTCACCCACCCATCCATCCATCCATCCATCCATCCATCCATCCATCCATTCATTCACCCACCCACCCATTCATTCATTCACCCACCCACCCATCCGTCCGTCCATTCACCCATTCATCAATTCATCCATCCATCCAGCATCCACCCATTCATTCACCCATCCATCCATCCATTCATTCATTCATTTGTTCATTCATTCACCCACCCATTCATCCATCCGTCCATTCACCCATTTATCAATTCATCAATTCATCCATCCATCCATCCACCCATTCATTCACCCATCCATCCATCCATTCACCCATCCATCCATTCATTCATTCATTCGTTCATTCATCCATCCGTTCACCCATTCATCCACCCACCCATCCATCCATTCATTCATTCATTCATTCATTCATCCATCCATCATTCATTCATCCATTCATTCATTTGTTAATTCGTTCATTTGTTCATTCATTCATTCACCCACCCATTCATCCATCGTCCATTCACCCATTCATCAATTCATCCATCCATTCATTCACCCATCCATCCATTCATTCATTCATCCATCCATCCGTTCACTCATTCATCCATCCATCCATTCATTCATTCATCCACCCATCCATCCATCCATCCATTCATTCATTCATTCAACCATCCATCCATCCATCCATCCATCCATCCGATTGTTTTTATCCTACCTGGATAAAAAGCCTCCTTCTCTCCCTAAAACCACGGAGGTGTGTCTTTTTTCCTATCTGGAGTCAGATCCTAATCCTGGGATCGCAGGAGAGCTGAGCCTCAGGTGTCGGATTCACTTTCGGCTTAAAGCTTCTTTTATCTTCAGCCTTTTGGCCTATTTATGGCACTCTTTATAAGACTGTCTCAGACCTCTCAGGGTCTCCACACTGCCTGGAATGCTACGGGTTTTACTGCTCCAGGTTTGGATTTAAAAACAGTCAGATAGAAACATTCCATTCAAATAGACCTTTAGGATGTAGTTTGAGGTGCTTTGGGACTACGAGATCCTCAGAAGGGACCGGGATGCTTTGGCTTGCTGAAATCAGAGAAACGTGGGATTAGGTGAGTTCATAATTTAGTCGCTGACTGTTCCACCGAAGCGAACTCCCACTAATCTGAGACTCACTAGGCAGTAAAACACGATTCTGATGACATTTCACTCGTGGTTGGAGAATTTAGGATTACTTCCCTGATTGAATCAACCAGAGGAAACGTACCACAAATAAAACGTTTCAGTCTAAACAACATTTCATGAGCACAGATGCATTTCCTGCTCTGATATCTGATCCGTGATGGACGCCTGTGGAGTTCACGTCAGCTCCCCCCTCCTCCGGCGGCTGTAATCGCATCAGCACCCCCCCCCCCCCCCCCCAGCCCATTCAGATGGGGATTAATTTACAAAATGGACCTCAGCGCTGCATTATGATCTTAATATTACAAATGGGGAATGAAAAAGAAAACACTGAGGGAATTTCATTTGTCCTGAACACTTTTATCTGAGGCTCAGGATGTTTTTCGGTCCTGATGATGAGAAACGACTTGGTGCTTTTGTTACAGCTGATTTTAATAAAGTTTTAGATTCTTCTCTAAAGGAGGGGCAGCCATCAATAGCAGCTCCTCTCCCTTTCATCCTACTGTCGGACTTAATTATGTTCAACGTTTGTTTTGAGTGAAATGATTTTTAAAAGTCAGAAGATGATGGAAATGCATCACAAACTGTTAGTTTTCTTAAAATAAGTAAAAAACATTTGCTAAATTTTAATCCAGCATGTTGGGTCTCATATGGATAAACATGTGGGCAAACCATATGTGTCATGGTCTGCGTCTTTCCCCATGCGTCTCCTGATGTTCTCCATCCCTCTCTAGATTCCCCTTTTGTGTCTCATAGCGCCCTCTTGTGTCCTTTGTCTGCGTCTCATTTATGTGTCTTCTGTTTGTAGCCCTTCAGGTCATCCCCAGCTCCTCCAGTTGTAGCTCCAGCCTCTTTGTCCCCAGCTCTCTTCTGGTTTTCTTCATGTTCTCTTGGTCTCCCCGCCATATTTCTATAGGTCTATTATTTCAGTTTTGTGTGTGTGAATGTCCTTCTCAGCTAGGGGTGTGTGTGTGTGTGTGTGTGTGTGTGTGTGTGTGTGTGTGTGTGTGTGTGTTTTCTTCTCCAGTCAGGTCCGGTGTCCTCCCCTGCTCCTCCTCCCTGGTTAGTTTTTGCCTTCACCTGGTTCTCTCCCCACACACCTGCAGCTCATCTGCCTCCCATTATGCCCCAGTCTATAAAGCCCTGTCTGTTTCTCATTGTCTTGTCGGTCCATTGTTTGTAATTCTGTCAGTCTCGTCTCTCTTGGATTATTAGGGTTTTTTTTTTTTTTGGTCTTCTCGAGTTCTCTAAGGTTTTTGGATTTCCAGATCGTTATCTGGTTTTTGGATTTTGGCTCCCAGCCCTGGATTTACTTTGTTTTTGGCTCACCTTTAAATAAAGGATTTTACTTAATCTTCATCCCTGCCTCATGTCATCCTGGGTACTGCATTTTGGGTCCTACCAACTCTGCAACGTGACAATATGGGTGCCAACAGGGTTTGTCCACAGTTTCCATTGTGGCCCCACAGGGATTCGACCACTTAAGACTTTAACAGGCCCTACAAGGGACCCAGATGAGTACGCTATAATCTATGTGGGCAAATCTGTGTGGGGCCACCGCAGAAACCACACAGAAACCCTGCTGGCCCTAGACGGGTTGAACATATGTGGGTCCACCTATGCATGTCTGTTTAGACTCTTAGATTTTCATTAAAAACCTCAGATAATTGAAATGTTCTCCAAATATATCTGAACTTTTAAAGAGTCTAAAGTCAGAATGAACCTGGGTAATGATGCGGTCCTGTCGACACTCTTCTTACCAAACCAAGGTCATCTAAACAGATTTAAATTATGTTTGTTGTTCCATCCATCCATCCATCCATCCATCCATCCACCCATCCACCCATCATACCATCCATCCATCCATCCATCCATCTTTACCCATTTATCCGGAGTCGGGTCGCGGGGGCAGCAGCCTAAGCAGAGAGGTCCAACTTCCCTCTCCCAGCCACTTGGACAAGCTCCTCTGGGGGAATCCCAAGGCGTTCCCTGGCCAGGTGAGAGACATAGTCCCTCCAGCGTGTCCTGGGTCTTCTCTAGGGTCTCCTCCCAGTTGGACGTGCCCAGAAAACCTCACCGTTGAGCTCCTCTACTGCTCCTCTCGACATGGAGGAGCAGCGGGTCTAGTCCAAGCCCCTCCCGGATGACCGAGCTTCTCACCCTATCTCTAAGGGAGAGTCCAGCCACTCTTCAGAGAAAACTCATTTCGGCCGCTTGTATCCGTGATCTCGTTCTTTCGGTCACTACCCAAAGCTCGTGACCATAGGTGAGGGTAGGAAGGTAGATCGACCGGTAAATCGAGAGCTTCGCCTTCTGACTCAGCTCTCTCTTCACCACGACACACAGGTACAACGCCCGCATCACTGCAGATGCAGCACCAATCCACCTATCGATCTCACGCTTTCTCCACTCGTTTGTTGTTTTGTTGATCTAAGTCAAATACAAAGTTTACTCAGCGATTCATCCATTAGATCACCAATCTTAATGGGACATTTCAGTCTTTTTAAAATGTTTTTTTTTGTGTCTCTGATCTGAACAGCCTCAGCTCAGAGATTTGGAGTTTACATCCTTCAGGACTGATTAGCTGATCTCAGTGCAGCTTGTCAGGATCTACTCCTGTACCCCTGTGCTGATTGAACTCACCTGGCCCTCATTACCTTACCCACCTGTTTCCCTGATCGTCTCCATATAATTAAACCCTCTGTCTGCTGGTCTTTGTCGGATCCTGGTCTTGTCTTCCTTCTGCATCATCCCACCTGCCATTATTCGTATCAAACAGTTGTTTACCTGCCAGTCTGCCTCCTGTTCCTGCTCACCTGCACTTGGAGCCTAACTCCACATCATGACACAGCTGTTCTCTTCATTTAGGTCTTCATCTTTAGCTGGTAGCTTCCTGAGGATGAGGACATGTGGTCGTAACCTTAACACAAAAGCTCAGTGCTTCATAAACCTCTGTCCGTCTTGGTGCTTAATCCGGTTCTATCTGGTCACTCCAACCTCTCAGCTGATCGATTAGTCATCCTGATCGATTACAGTTCCTAAATCTGTCTGGTCTCTCCTTTGGTTTGGTCTCTGATGTGATCTGTCATGATGCTGCGTCTGAAACGGGGACGGATCTGAATCAGATCCGTTTCAGATTGATTATGCCTGAGTTCACATTTAAAATGATTATCTGGTCACTCAAGCCGATGAAGTCTTAATGGCTTCTAATGAAATTTCTGCAAAAGGAAATCAGTGTTCAGGTTGAAAAGCAGCTTTTTAAAATTCTGATTGAGTCCTGAGGACCGTCCTGGTGTCCCACTGGTGTGAGCCTAAATGTTTCCTTTTTAAAAGTTTTGGTTTGGCCATCTCCGATGTCCTTCCCAGGAAACCAGCTTCCCCTGAAGCTGCCCCGGAGTCCAGATCTTCTCTTGGAAAATGTAATGGTCACACACATGTCACCGAGGTGGACAGACTGGGATTAACTTCAAGCTGAGACCAAACAGATCCCAGTCCTGAGGAAGGAACCAGAGGGTTTAATCTTCATACCTGGAGGGTTCTTTACACGTTCATGAAATTTTAGTCAATCTGAAAAGAAAACAGAACATTTTAGAATATGTTGAGATGTTGGGTGGAGA